AGTGATAAGAACTCTTGCTTTGGGAACCTCTTTGCTATGCCCCTACTTTATAGTATCGACCTTTTAACAACTATGATTCAAGCTAAGCTCCTCATTTTCAACTTAGTTCATGAGTGACTGCCATGAGTCATGAATAACTGCTGAATCAAGTGGAATGGCAACAAATGCCTCGAAAGCTAGAGCAGCATAGTGATAGTGATAGATCTAATGCGCTTGCCTTTCAGGATGTCATCTACGACAACGAAGCGAATTCATAGTACAGTAAGCAGCTACAATGAGAAGGTATTTCAACATCCGATTTTTTTGCTTTTATCATTTCAGAAGGGTTACTGAGCTAATCGCGGTGCAATGTCAAAAGTGCTGAACAGTTTTTGCTGAAACGGTACTTTTTTCAACAGTGTGATTCATCGTCATTTCAGCGAGATACAGGTGATTCATATGAAAATACGGTCATCGGATTAACCGCTGATCAGTTGAAAATAGCACAGGAAACAAAATTCTGGAAAATGTGGAGGTAAACACTGCACCGGTCACCGAGACGAATTGTTTGGAAAGAGTTCAATATTTTTAGGATGGCAATCGTTGTACTGTTCTGGCTACTGTGGGCAGGGATGGTGGCTGGTGCAGTGGTTATCGTTGTTGTAAAGAATGGAGATGTGCCCGAAACTACAACTACGACCGCGACAAAAACATCGGTTCACAACTAAACCTACCGTGATTGCAGTGCGAAATTTGAAAGGATTTCCTTTTTTGCACTGTTTTTAGCAGCACGTTCACCACCGCTTACTTGAAACTAACGAGCAGAATTCAATAAATTTTTTGCCTACCTTAATTGGCATCATGTGATAAGGACCATCGTTTGATGCATCGTCGTTAATTCCTTTCGCTGCCTTCCAGGCTTTTTCCTTCAAAACAAAAAATGATGTTTGCCAAAATTCAACAAACAGAGGACCCATTCTGTTCAGATAATAGTTGATATTACCAAGAGAAAAGCAAACAAAACCAGAAAAACGAACAAATAATTGAGGCGATGAATGTGTTACGCCCGGGATTGGTGAGGGATGGAAACAAATTGGGAAATTAAGTGGGGATACACAACCTTATAGTTCCCACAACTTCTTCATACTGCTAGGCAGCTAATAACTATGAGGTTTAACAAGATTTTACGACTGGTATTAGAAGTAACAAAAGATATACGAAAAATTTGACACGTCCTCATTTCTGTAGTTTGTGGAGGACTCTTAATCTATCCACTTTCCTGAAATTGAATAATACAAATGGCTGTAAAATAACAGATTTATGAGCCCAAGGGGAATAGGCATACCTACATAGCCCGGCGGGTGTCCTTTTTCACTGCTAGATCAATAGTGTGCACCGTCAAGTGTTCTCCATCTTTTCCCAAACAGTGTCTAATCGAAGCAGTGAAATAAAAGTGAATTCCCACTCTCACAGTTATCTATAAACTACCTTTATCTTTAGCTAGACCTTTGGCATAATTTAACCGCAACCCGAATAGGGTAGCAAGAGGATAAGGGAAAACCAACCGAAGAACTGAAGCAGGTTCAACCCAGCCTAGGGAATAAGCTATAACCAACCGTTAGGATACGATTTTACAGACAATGGAGGAAATGTTCGAAACGCCTTACGGCGTTTCACTTTATATAAATAAAATTAATCGTCTAATAAACCAACCATGTACTCTGGATCGCTGGCACTTTGCTCTGTAAATCCTCCGACCATACCTGCCATACTGAACGGGACAGTGCAGAGTAGTAGACTGAGGCCAACAAACGCGGATGGCATGTTGTTGACTGAAAGCACGCCCAGATGGTTATCGATCGGCGGTCAGATGACAAACACCGCCAATACGCCGACGGTGACTCATTGACGCAAAAGACCAACGATTAGAACAGTCCCAAGCTTTCTATGACAATTACCACTTCCACAAATCGAATCCCGAATTCATACTAAAAGTAGCTCAACGTGTACAGGTGCCACATAGACCTAAAGAAATCTGGAGATAATGGGAACGCATCACTGAAAGAAAAACCTGGCACCATCACTTGTTTCTTACAGATTCCGATTCTCAGTCATAAGGGTGGCTCGACCAAATTCGCACTCAAGAGGATCAGCCTTTCCCTTGCTTTTTGATGCGTCTTATATGTGACGGGTTAGGATTTTTGCATTCAAATAGGGTTTGCCGTGGAACGAAATATTTTGACTGTGAAATTCTGCGTCAATTGCGTTTTATTTCACCGCATGCTCACTGTAAGAAACGGGTGCCTCAACTAAATTTTCGTTCCGTGACCGAAATAAGTGCTAAGGAATCCTGTAGTAGTTAGGTGAACGCAGGCCTACTCCATTGAATTCTTGAATACCTTGTATGAAGGTGACTTGGCCCTTTGTAGGAAAACCCCGAGGTTAAGACCGGAAATCCGTGATTAAATTTTTGATCATAATTATGATCGCAGTTAGGTTTTCTGTGTCTATCCAGCAACTTATATATTTAACCTTAGTAGATCTATGAAGATTTATAGGGATTGTGCCAAGTACTTCGTACTGTGCTTGGATATTGTTCTCTTGGTCAAAATAACAGCAGACGGGATTGAAAACCCATTTGAACGAGCAGTAAAGAACCAGAGAATATTATAATGAAAAGTGGGGCGATCTCAGCTGAAAGGTAAGTTGACAACTGGAAGGATGATGCTGCAAAGCTTGTATTCTACGGTGCTTGGGGTTTTATACTTGACCAGGCGTACCGTACATTCATCAAAAATGTTATTATGAAATTCATGTCAATGACAAACAAAAATAAATGAAAAGCGAATTGTGGTGAATAAAAATAGCAACGAATACACTCTGATGGACATATCGGAGTTGAATGACACCCCAGGACGTAGCGGAACACAGATACTGCTCACTGCTCTGGCGATTTGTTTTCTCACAAGCCCCTCCCCTGTCCCGGAAGATGGATTTGTGTAAAGCGCACTATCGACCAGACATCGTCCCCAATGTCTGGTTTAGTAGCCACTGAATCCGCAAATGTGACTTTTCAGTTGAAAGTGAAACTGCCTAGCATAAAGCTCTTGAAAAGACAATATTCGAACAAACTTCTAGTTGTTTCATTTCTGCACAACTGTTAAGAAAATTTCGATTTGCATGCGTTCTCTTCAGATAGGGAAGGGTAAAGCATGAGAATGGCAAGGGATCATCCCATTCTGTGTCTCTAACAGTAATCAATATATAGGCAGACTTTTAAGAGATTCAGTATTACATCCGTTCCAAACCGCAGCCGTAAAAAACTGCAGCGCACCAGGCATTTGTTAAGGCCATCTGTTTGGACGCGAGGAAAAGCCGGGGATAAATAAACCACGAGAATTAGCCGGCTTCACAAATAGTAGGAACGAGCTGAGCCTTCGCTCTTAATTCGGCATTGCCTTTGTTCAGCTGCTAGCAATCAAATGTGCGCTTCTGCTCTTGGATCAACGTAATGGTGTGGATCTCTAGTCATTAAACTGAAAAAATCGTAAAGTTTTGCGCTGTAACAACTGCTACCTGCAGAATGAGTTGCTTGCCCTGTTGCCAGTTCAGCTGCCCTATGATGCTTGTTTCTGATACATTTCTCTCGGGATCTTGTCAGATACGACGCTAAAACCTCCTTAAAAGCATTCGAAAGAGCATTATCGTTGTATTATAAGGTGCTGGAAAGTAAAGTCACAACTAAAACATCACTTAAATTGATCTTTCAAGACCAACGTATTCCTAGGTTGGGTTAACGTCTTTCTTAGTTACTCTTCTTCTACTTGCAGTTCCATTATCACAACTTTTATGACAAAGACAAATAAGCAGATAAAAAGACACACCAATAAATCTGCACCACTATACGAACTGCGTACTTTGCATGTCTGCTCGTCAACAACTGGTGGTTGTGATAATGAAGCTGATAATAGAAGCCGTCCGAACCATACTTTGAGACTACGCTGCATGAAACAGCTTTTTCGGACATGTACACGCAGTCTTGATTACTTTGCCGTAAATCATCGCGAACTTTGAAATAACCAAAAAGAAAATCCCGCAGAGACATCCGGTACTACGGTGATTCGACTGTGGGTCTTAGCTCGAGCGCTTTATCGTGACCTAACACAACCAGGTAGCGACTCACGCGCCTACCCCTCAGCTTGCCCGAGGCCTATTTCGGTGCATTATATAAGTGACGATATAAGGATAAGTGTATTGAAGTAAGGTAGTGGGATGAAACGTGTCGACTATGGAGCTCCAGGCCTGAGATTTCATCGACTATAGAGCTCCGGGCATCAGCTTTCATTACCCATAAGTGACAGTAGTGACAAGTTCCTGCCCTGGATTTTAGAGGCTGCATCGAAATTTGACTATTCCCATCGTGGTTCATGGAAGGCCTTCAAACCTTATGAGTGTGCATATTGCCAGGAATATTACGATATTACCGTCGTGCTGCACACAGTGTTTTGCAGCCATCTATTCTGCAGTAAACACTAAATTGGCGAATTCCAAATACCAAAGGGTTAACTTACGAAAACGGCAGCATTTTAGGACGCGCTTTGACGGTTAATTCAATTCGAGTTGAACAATTTGTTAACAATTTATTTTGTCGAATGGAATGGTGGCTCTGTATAGGTGGAACCGCTATATGTGGTAATAGTTCTATATAGAATAGATGAACTTTTTCTTTCTCTGGTAATGAGACTAACCTAGCTTTTAGCATTAGCCTTACCGCTGCTACGGTTCCNTTGTTAACAATTTATTTTGTCGAATGGAATGGTGGCTCTGTATAGGTGGAACCGTTACATCCGTTAATAGTTCTATGTAGAATAGATGAACTTTTTCTTTCTCTGGTAATGAGACTAACCTAGCTTTTAGCATTAGCCTTACCGCTGCTACGGTTCCACCACAGAGGAGGAAAACAGAAGCACCTGAGGTCAGATGAGCGAATAACACTGTCTAAGGTCCCTCTATACGTGTGATCCTGAGGAAGACCATGTGTTTATGCTTCTGATTCACATTTCGCAGTGCCGTATGATCAAAAGTTTCTTACTTTATAGTCATAGAGTTTGCCTTACTGCAGAACAAAGCTTGGTAGCAATGATTACTTGTTCAATAACACCCTAAATGGATACCATGTTATCAGCTGGTCGAAATTACCGAGGCGAAGAACTATAAAACGACAGACCGATAAACAAACCGTCTCACGAAGTGGCTACTTTATACATATCAAACGAAGGGTAACTCAAATAGGGTAGGGTTTTCTTAAATCATAAAACAATACGTAATTTGTTCGATATCTTAAGACAAGGAACAGCGGGGCTGTGGTAGAAAATATGATTCAGTATGAACTTTCGTTCTTGACAAGATGCCTAGACGAGAAGTCACCGAGCGCATCAAGTTACATTGGTGTTAACGTTGAACAGCTGATAGCAGGAATTTATCGAAAATCAACACGCCGAATAGTTTTGAACGTATACGACTGCTACTTTCCAATCTTGGAGAGTTTGATTCAGTAAGGAATCGAGAAACTGTTCAAAGGAACTTTGGAAAGCGGCAGAAACTTCATGAACTTCACAAAAACACCACTAACAATAAGAAGATAAGCGTACGACAGAGTACATGGACTTAGCGCCTGCCTCCCTAAATGGGCCAGGAGTCAAGGGATGGCATACGGGCAATAGAGAACGGTCGATTACCGATCGTGCAGAAGAATTCTCATTGTAATCACGGATTGGGGAAGAAAACACCGCGACACGACATAACAAGTTATTTCACCTTTGAACTTGATAACACCGACATTCCTACATGTGAACCAATATGATCCCGTAAGTAATGTAAGACCCACCGAGGCCAGATTAGGGAAGTGGGAGGCGGTTTCTAGGGGCCATCGACGATAATTTGTTTTGATTCAAAAGTAACACTATTTTTTTGAGTCGCTTTTTATTCTTCTTTATCAGTGGGGATTATAATGTTTACCCCATCTAAAGATTTTTCTTGAAGATTATTATAAGCATTTATAATCTTGAGGATAGCATAAAAACAAATCGCGAATACATATCTATACTTCAGGGGCACAAAAGGGGTTCGGAAAAGCAAAACTGTCCTGTTCTGAAGAAACATCTTCCATAGGGTCTTATCACAGATCACATGGTACGTAAGTCACCTGTTATCGAACGAGATACTAGCGAAAAAAATGGGAAATCTTGAATGAGTAAGAGAAGGTACTGACTAATATATAATTGACGGAAACCTCTACTGACAGCCTCCTGCAGTGGTTGTAATAAGGAAAACATTGATTTGTTTTTGAACATTTTTAGGTGTTGTCGAAAGACGACGCGGAAGGAACGGCAATCAAACTGAAGAAGTAAAAGTTCCTTAGAATTGTAGAAAGACACCAATGCCTACGAGATGGGGTTGGGCAACGTGTCGCTGCTGTCATTTCTACATCAAAAGCTTGGATTCGTTCATCAGCTGGTCCAAGGCCGCTATATTGGCCTTAGGCCTTGTATGGCCTCGAAAAAAAATGAATGCCTAACGATGTCTTAGAAAAAAAGAATCGCTAGATAGGTCAAAGTCTTCTCACTACGTCCGAATATTCTTACTTCTTGATGTGTCAATCTGTCTTGACATCTGTCAATTTTCACCCCTCACGCCATCAAGAATCATAGTGAAAATGTGACTTTCATACATGGTAGTGCATGGTCAACGAGGTAAGTATTACCCATTATTATCGAAAATTACTCGTTTTTCGAGCCTAAAAAGCTCCATAGCTCGCCATGGTTCTGAGGGTTACAGAACGAAGGAACCATAGAAGCCAACAATCGAAGTTATCATATAGAAAAGTCCAAAAGAGTACGTTACAGTAGAGGAATTGGGAGTGCCTAGAACAGGAAACATGGCGAAGTAGACGTAGAGAATGGATCGTTTACTGCAAAATGTGGAAGTGTAATGAAATTTGAATATTTCGGTGGATAAGTTGTGATAAAATTTACTCAGTGAAAACGGTCATACACTAGTTAAGAAGCTTGGTTTACTTGGAAGGTTTTCGAAAACACGACGGTCGTTACTCCGAAATCCGACAGATGCTTACATCTCTCATGTGACACTGGTTTCAGAAAATGGGTAACTAGGTCATCCATGAATGCTTCGCATCGCTAGGAATTTCATATGGGTTTTGGAAAGTTCTACAAATATGAAAAATGTGAGAAAATTCGCCCAAATGGACTCCTCACGAGCCTCTGACTGGCAGGCACAAGCGCGAGCCTGAGATAGAGTTGAAGGCGAGGGTCAGTTGGTTTCTTCAAAACAAATGATATCCTCCTGTGACAAATCAGTTTCTCTAAATATTCCAGGCTTTTCTTTTTGCCGAGGATGATGGTGGGGTTCTCTGCAAACGATGACGGTGAAGTGTTGATCACTGAAGCGATTCCCAGTGTTTTTATAGATATTTTTGTTCATCAAATACACCAACACATGAGTCATCTATGTCAACGTTTGAGAAAAAACATTATCATGTGGGCAATTCTACTTAATCTGTTGACATATCAGTTACGGAATTTTCATTCTAGGGGTATGATATCGTTCACCTAACAGTTTCGAAATGATTACGGGCCGTATTGACGATTCTGTAGGATTTGGGCTTGTCAAACACTGGCAGAGAACAGTAATAGTTATTTGATGATGACAATTTTTGGCAGCGAGCTATCCATTTTGCAAAACTGTAAAGTGTTATTTGATATAATGTATCACATAGGGTAGAACAAGGAGGACGAATTCGTGCAGTGCAAGCTCCCAAAACAGATACTCAGTTCTCCTACCAGAAGACGTATTGGTATATTAAGAAAATGGGTGAAAATGTAGTTGGGGGGGGGGG